CGAGTCAATGGCGTCGTTCATGATTTGGATCCAGCCTTTGAAGGTGGCCACTTGAAACAAGCACAAGTAAGCCTTGCCCACGTGGTCGAAATTCATCGGCGAGTTCTCCCACGTGTAGTTTTCGGCGATGCAAGCGTTGCGATCTGGTATTATCTCGTAGCTTAGCGTAGTTTTGTTCGCGTCGACGCACTAGAAGGTTTTTCGTTTGTTAAGTATTTTTTCGTCTTCGTTATCACAGATATATTTATTTTTTTCATATCTGATTTTTCATCGGCGTTACCTTGAAATATTTTCCAGCAAACAATTGTACACCCATAATCGCGAAAATAAGCCAGAATATGAGGCACACTAGCAGCACATTGAAGATGGATGGAATAGCTTGGACCAGGGCATTGACGACAACCTTGGCGGGAAAAAATTGATAACCTCAGTGGGATGTGGTGATCGTTCGGTGTTTATCGAGTGTCATTTCATTCTAGTGTTTTAATTATGTACGAGCACGATATCACATGTGAATTAAAAATACTGTGAGCCATGAATTCATTGGTAATGCAATTGTGATTAAGATTTAGGTAAATAATTATAATTGTTAATTAGACTCTTCAACAAGATAATACAAGTAATTGATGAGGTTTTCTTTATTTATATCGTATGGTAATATATTGTAACGCAATTGCACCAAAAGAATTTTTCCTCTTCTGAGTAATTGAAGCGTGTTTCAGTGCTTTTTTAGTTAATTTTTCAGTATGCAACGAGTTTCAATGAAACTCTTGTATTTATTCGCAAAATCAATCGCATTTTTCATGTTTAATTTGGAGAAATAAGTATATTGTATAAGCGTGTGTCTATTCAACAGAATGTGATGGCTCACTGCGATCACGGAACTAAATGTAATCGGGATAATGCTCAGTCCCAAGTACAAATTGAAATAAAATAAATCAAAGTAGAGGCATTGGAAATAAAAAATTTTGAACGAATCCAGATTGCGTTCAAGTTCCACGATCATGTGAGAAAGTCTCCACAACAATGACTAACTAATGCACAAAAAAGAGAAGCATATGAGCACAGTACACGATCATGCAACAGCTAGTTGACACATAAAGCAAAAGCATAGACGGACACACCACGAATAGAAGCAATAAACGTGGCTAGACATATACAATCGAATAATGTTTTATCATGGTCACTTCACATGTATATCACGTAATGAATTAAAAAATGTAATTGAGTTTAAATACGAATAAACATTACTCGATTATAGAGTTTTGAGCATACAAACGCAAAACAATAAAAACTTTTTTTTTTTTTTTTTGGGCACATGGAAAAGGATTGTACATAATAGTTTAGGCAAGCAAAGAAGTATTATGTATGTACAGAAATGAAAAAAAAAAAATTATGATTGCGGATGTTCTATTTGACGGGGTATTCTGTATTCATGGGTATGGCTTGAATATTTTCTCAACCCAATGTCTCAGCGACCTCATATCAAAGCGTAAATCTGTGTATTTTCTAATAAACAAGAGAAACAAGTGCATTTGGTGTGCTTATTATTTCTTGCTCACTACTCGTTTGTTCCAAATATATTCTCTAAGTTCAAGGTGTATGATCAAAGGTATACTGTACGTATACATTGACAAGTTGATTATCTACTTGCTGTTGTCAAGCTGTGCATCATCCATCAGCCGCTTCAATACATTGGATTTCAGTATACAAAATATTTTCGATTTGCGTGCAGATTTTTATTATAATCAATGACGGTTTAGTTGGGGATTTAATGGACAAGGATATTTTTTTCTTCGGTTTGCATGAATCAAGGTATTTTTTCGTTATGACCTGGCAGTTAAAAATCGAAATACCAATGACACTTTGATGAAATTTTCCACCTTCAACCATATAATGTTAATTGGATTCAATTTTTCAAAGAATAGGAAGTTGGATAAAGTTGTTTTAATTTTTGTATCGTACGAAATTTCAAACGAAACTGTGATTAAAAACAATCTGTATCAAACTTCAATATTCATATTGTAATTAGGTCACAGTTCATGAAACTATTGCATGAAGAGGTTTCCAGGTTCTCGAATATTAACTTCGAAATAGGCATGTCGTGGACAATACACATTTGTCATCTAATTTATTCAAAAATGCTAAAAAAAAAAGTTGTTGCTGCAGTCTAAATGCAATGGCGTTTGGTGGTTTTAACTATTCTATGTATATGCGCATTAATATAATAAACTACGGAATTAAAAATAAATATTGATATAATACAAAAACAGTATTGTGATAACTCTCTGGTGAAATATATAAAATAGTTTTATTTTTGTATCTTTAAAATTTCCACCAGAGGCTTACTTTACTATATATTATGTTGATAATTAAAAAAAAGTAAGCTCATATTAAAAATAGTGAACGTATTGGCAATTAATTGTATGTTATGCGTGTAAAATATTGTTATTTTTTTACTCCAAGGGGATGAGACAGTCGTACGAAAATTTTTAAAAATGTATAAATTACTTCAATATATCTCCGATCTGTGTAGGTATTTTACATAGACAATGTGTCCAATGCAATAACTACTATTTCGAATTCGCATCCCCTCAACTACATAGTTGTGTAAAATTGTAACTATGCGTGATGTTTACACGAACAGTAAGCCATTGCAATAAAAATATAAACTAAAAATTATTTTGACTAACATATTAATACTAGATCATAACAAGCAATTCACTTTATCCGTGTCCACGTGTTTATGTATAAATGCATGTATGTCTGCCTGTAAGAGTGCACTGTCGTTGTTTTCATCATGTGTATATGCTAATAAGTATGAAATATCTAAATGCCTCTAATGTATTGTTAAAAAAAAAGATTTTGTGTAACTGTAATGTATCAATAAATGTGGCATTTGTTAAAAAAAGGCCGGCTGAGACTTGTGGGCTACATACCCGCATTCCCTGCATTCTAGACATCGCCCTGAGTGGCCTTAGGGCCCTTAGGGTCCGCATTGTTTTGAAGGCTTGGATTCCGCCCGCGCCAAGGAGCGACGCTATGAAGTTAATGAGAGACACCTGCGAGCGACAAAATTGAAGAGCGGATCATAGAAACACGTCGAATGACTATAGGCACAGGCGAACAGAAGGATTGCGATTTCTGTGATTTTTGCAGCGTCGCCCACTAGGTATACACAACAAGTCTCTGTTTCTTCTAGTAGGGTCAAAAAATGGGGGGAGCCGGGAAAAGATGACATAGTTTTTCCGAGTTTTTAATGTCTACTAGACTAGAGAGTTGGGGAATTTTTTTTTTTTTTTTTTCCTACTAATTAAGAGAAAACAAAAATGTTACATGATACTGAATGGTACGGAAATGGGTAATTTGCTGCAGATTCGAAAATGCTGGCACAGGTCTGGATATCACCACAACAGTTGTAGTCGAAGTACATAGTTTGCTGTTAACGATTTTGATATCACATCGATAAATGTTAAATTTGTTTTTGATGAAAAAAGTTTTTTTTTTTCCACATAGTTTTATTGCAGGAGTCACAATATCTAAAGGTTTCGATGTAATATCAATAACGTGTACAAGCAATTTTTTTTTTTTGTCAAGTGTGAAGTATGTAATAATAGATTGAGCCATTGATGGTAATAATATGTATGTACAACAAAAACAGCTAGAAGATAGAAAAGGAGTATAGGACGTAGATGAGGCACACACTGTCTTAAAAATCAACGAAACATTTTATATTTATATATTTATAATATACCAGCTGCTCCTGAAACAGATTAAAAAATTTTGTAGTTTGAATCTCTAATTCTCAATAAACACGCTATAAATATAAAAACCATGTGAGCCCTATAGGCTGATGATTTTTAAGTAGGTAATTACGTAATCTAATAGTAAAAAAATTTGTAAAAAAGATTTTCACATTCTTTTTATTGTCAAGTGAATCTATTTCTATAAACTATGTAGAAAAAGGTAAAAAATTCATCGATCAATGACTATTATCTCAAATGCTAAAATCTATGACTAAGATCTAATTATAAAATAAGTGAAATGTAATTTTTAAAAATTCGTAGAAAAAAAGTATCGTGAAAAATTTTGATATATGCATCCATTCCTAATGGAGATTTATCAATGATCACTTACTTCTCGACTTACTTAACTCACTTTCCTATTTATTTTGCATATTTTGGTTGGGGGTAATGCATTTACTCGTAGGCAGTCAGATCGTACGTGCGTAAATTATTTAATAAAGAATAAATCTAGTGATGAATCTTCTACTTGTTTATGAATTTGCATACGTATGTATATGCATGTATGTGACTTACGTTTATGTTTTCAAAATATTTCATGCAAATAAAATTTGTCCTTCAACAATCAAATGTACTACTACTTGTAGTGTATATACACAAAGTGATCGTTATTTATCTTATGTTCTTTGTTAAAGGACTAGATTACCATAAACAGTAAAGAAAATAAATATTTGTTTGAGGTAAGTACTTGTGGGAAAAAACAAGTTCTTCTAGCATTAAAAAACTAAATCCAAACAATTGTATACCTCGGTAACAAAAGACATTCCTTAAAAGGGTGTGCGTGTGAAATGTCTAAACCTACATAAAAACGTGGAATTGACTGTAATAAATAATAAAAATAAAAAAAATAAAATCATCATCACATTCAGAAACACACGTACGATTTCCGTTAAACTATACGTAACGGATTTTTCTGACTGCCAGAGATAATGACAACATGTGCATCGAGGTCTCGTTAATCATAGTCCTCGTAACATATTTGGGGCTCATATTACGACACGGGATCACTAACGTCGAGGGGACAAATCATAATAAACATTAATATTAATTCTGAACACCAATGTAAGGCTACATAACGTAATGATAATAAACACTTGCTGAAACTCCAGTGAAGCTTACGCCTGTTTGTTTTGGTTATTATTATTTCTTTTTATTTTGCATTTCATAATTTATCTCAAAAAAGATCTAAGTTCTAATATGACTAGTACGTGCAGTTCGTTGGAGTGTATGTATAACACACTAAAGTTCATAAATACAGTGTGTATTAAAAAAAACAACAACATGAGTCAAGACCAAGGCACTGTGTACTGTTATAATATGTGTGTGTCGAAAAAGTCATGATAAAGAGAAAAACACATGAATGTTCAAACAACAGGTCAATGATCCCAGAAACAAACAGGACTTGGCGGCCTTTACTTTTGCGAAGTAATAAAAAAATGCACGCATAATTCACTGAAGCTTCTCCGACAAAATGAATTAACCATTACGTTATATTACCTAATATTGATAAAATAACGACAACGAAGTCGAAGAGGTTCCAGGGCTCCACGAAATAGTGGTAGCGCAGCGCGAAGACCTTTGAGAAACACTCGCTGGTGAATATCACAATGAATATCATGTTCAGGTAGTCGAGCACGTTGCTGAAGGTTTCTGTCTGCTGGTAATGATCTAGGGTCATCGTCAGCATGTTCAGACCGATGAACAACATGATTATCATATCGAACTTCTTGTCCGTCACTATTTCGAACACGATCGCCTGGGGCCGCCACTGCAACATGATTCACACCCAATTAAGGATTTAATTAGTTTTTACTATTTTTTATTAATTTGCTTTCAATGCACTAGATTTTTCATTTATGTAGCTACGAAACTTTTACTTATTAATACGATGATGGGTATAATATGATCTAAACAAAATGATACTAAAAATACGGAGAAAATGGTCTATTAGGTGCAGTGCACAAAAGTACAATAGTTAAAAAAGTGCTTCGAGTCATGCGCCTCTATATAGTTTTCGTACTTGTGAAAGAAATTTAAAAATAAAATTTTTTTGTTAATCATTTCATGCTTTTAATACAATATTTTCTACTCTATAAGATGTAAATTATTGTAAATCACCTGTTTTCTAAAAGAAAAACATGTAGAAATGTACCACCTATTATATACTTAGGTGATTCAATGATATTTTTTTTTAAATTTTAACATTAGAGAAATCTAATTTATGATGCTATTAAACTTTTTCTTATTTAACGGATATTTATAGAGTTATACTAGTTGTATGAATATAAAGTGATTACAAAGCTACAAATATGGAATGATTTTTAAAAAGGTCCCTTCTACGTTTATAAATATTAAAATGGCTTAATAAAAAGCTATGATGAATGAGTTTAAATGTCAAGTATTGCAGAAATATCGATTCAAGTATAAACAATAGTTAAACAGCGATATAGGTAGTAAAGTTTTTAAAAATTGCGAGAAAAAATGACTTGAGCTTCTGCTAATGAGAGTAGGAAAAAATACTGTACCCTCGGCCGGGGGATAGCCTTCAGTGGCTTTTTGTTGCCCATTTTTTTCATGGCGTTGTAGTATTTTTTCTGATCCTCAGTCATGAACATCTCGAGCGAGCCGCCGGCTTTTTTCTTCTGCTCGTTGAAGTTGTCAATGATAACTCCGATAAACAGATTGAGAGTAAAAAACGATCCGAAGATGATGAAAAATACAAAATATAGGTACATGTAAATGTTCGTTTCGCGAATCGGCTGCTTGTTTATCTGCAAAAAAAAGGTAAATTTTTTTTTTTTCCAACTATGCTCATCCGTTTTCTTCTCTTTACTGCTATTCGCGGGTTTTTTTTTTTCGTTTGAAATATTATTTTCTGTTAAAAGCTTTGCAATAGTATAGATGACGAGTTCTTTTTTATTTATTTATTTTTTTTTTTTTATATACAAAACTATTGCAATGGCCTGAAAAAAGTTATCGGGAGAAAAAGGTAAAACTTGTCAGACGCACTTCTCTCGAGTCAATGGCGTCGTTCATGATTTGGATCCAGCCTTTGAAGGTGGCCACTTGAAACAAGCACAAGTAAGCCTTGCCCACGTGGTCGAAATTCATCGGCGAGTTCTCCCACGTGTAGTTTTCGGCGATGCAAGCGTTGCGATCTGGTATTATCTCGTAGCTTAGCGTAGTTTTGTTCGCGTCGACGCACTAGAAGGTTTTTCGTTTGTTAAGTATTTTTTCGTCTTCGTTATCACAGATATATTTATTTTTTTCATATCTGATTTTTCATCGGCGTTACCTTGAAATATTTTCCAGCAAACAATTGTACACCCATAATCGCGAAAATAAGCCAGAATATGAGGCACACTAGCAGCACATTGAAGATGGATGGAATAGCTTGGACCAGGGCATTGACGACAACCTTGGCGGGAAAAAATTGATAACCTCAGTGGGATGTGGTGATCGTTCGGTGTTTATCGAGTGTCATTTCATTCTAGTGTTTTAATTATGTACGAGCACGATATCACATGTGAATTAAAAATACTGTGAGCCATGAATTCATTGGTAATGCAATTGTGATTAAGATTTAGGTAAATAATTATAATTGTTAATTAGACTCTTCAACAAGATAATACAAGTAATTGATGAGGTTTTCTTTATTTATATCGTATGGTAATATATTGTAACGCAATTGCACCAAAAGAATTTTTCCTCTTCTGAGTAATTGAAGCGTGTTTCAGTGCTTTTTTAGTTAATTTTTCAGTATGCAACGAGTTTCAATGAAACTCTTGTATTTATTCGCAAAATCAATCGCATTTTTCATGTTTAATTTGGAGAAATAAGTATATTGTATAAGCGTGTGTCTATTCAACAGAATGTGATGGCTCACTGCGATCACGGAACTAAATGTAATCGGGATAATGCTCAGTCCCAAGTACAAATTGAAATAAAATAAATCAAAGTAGAGGCATTGGAAATAAAAAATTTTGAACGAATCCAGATTGCGTTCAAGTTCCACGATCATGTGAGAAAGTCTCCACAACAATGACTAACTAATGCACAAAAAAGAGAAGCATATGAGCACAGTACACGATCATGCAACAGCTAGTTGACACATAAAGCAAAAGCATAGACGGACACACCACGAATAGAAGCAATAAACGTGGCTAGACATATACAATCGAATAATGTTTTATCATGGTCACTTCACATGTATATCACGTAATGAATTAAAAAATGTAATTGAGTTTAAATACGAATAAACATTACTCGATTATAGAGTTTTGAGCATACAAACGCAAAACAATAAAAACTTTTTTTTTTTTTTTTTGGGCACATGGAAAAGGATTGTACATAATAGTTTAGGCAAGCAAAGAAGTATTATGTATGTACAGAAATGAAAAAAAAAAAATTATGATTGCGGATGTTCTATTTGACGGGGTATTCTGTATTCATGGGTATGGCTTGAATATTTTCTCAACCCAATGTCTCAGCGACCTCATATCAAAGCGTAAATCTGTGTATTTTCTAATAAACAAGAGAAACAAGTGCATTTGGTGTGCTTATTATTTCTTGCTCACTACTCGTTTGTTCCAAATATATTCTCTAAGTTCAAGGTGTATGATCAAAGGTATACTGTACGTATACATTGACAAGTTGATTATCTACTTGCTGTTGTCAAGCTGTGCATCATCCATCAGCCGCTTCAATACATTGGATTTCAGTATACAAAATATTTTCGATTTGCGTGCAGATTTTTATTATAATCAATGACGGTTTAGTTGGGGATTTAATGGACAAGGATATTTTTTTCTTCGGTTTGCATGAATCAAGGTATTTTTTCGTTATGACCTGGCAGTTAAAAATCGAAATACCAATGACACTTTGATGAAATTTTCCACCTTCAACCATATAATGTTAATTGGATTCAATTTTTCAAAGAATAGGAAGTTGGATAAAGTTGTTTTAATTTTTGTATCGTACGAAATTTCAAACGAAACTGTGATTAAAAACAATCTGTATCAAACTTCAATATTCATATTGTAATTAGGTCACAGTTCATGAAACTATTGCATGAAGAGGTTTCCAGGTTCTCGAATATTAACTTCGAAATAGGCATGTCGTGGACAATACACATTTGTCATCTAATTTATTCAAAAATGCTAAAAAAAAAAGTTGTTGCTGCAGTCTAAATGCAATGGCGTTTGGTGGTTTTAACTATTCTATGTATATGCGCATTAATATAATAAACTACGGAATTAAAAATAAATATTGATATAATACAAAAACAGTATTGTGATAACTCTCTGGTGAAATATATAAAATAGTTTTATTTTTGTATCTTTAAAATTTCCACCAGAGGCTTACTTTACTATATATTATGTTGATAATTAAAAAAAAGTAAGCTCATATTAAAAATAGTGAACGTATTGGCAATTAATTGTATGTTATGCGTGTAAAATATTGTTATTTTTTTACTCCAAGGGGATGAGACAGTCGTACGAAAATTTTTAAAAATGTATAAATTACTTCAATATATCTCCGATCTGTGTAGGTATTTTACATAGACAATGTGTCCAATGCAATAACTACTATTTCGAATTCGCATCCCCTCAACTACATAGTTGTGTAAAATTGTAACTATGCGTGATGTTTACACGAACAGTAAGCCATTGCAATAAAAATATAAACTAAAAATTATTTTGACTAACATATTAATACTAGATCATAACAAGCAATTCACTTTATCCGTGTCCACGTGTTTATGTATAAATGCATGTATGTCTGCCTGTAAGAGTGCACTGTCGTTGTTTTCATCATGTGTATATGCTAATAAGTATGAAATATCTAAATGCCTCTAATGTATTGTTAAAAAAAAAGATTTTGTGTAACTGTAATGTATCAATAAATGTGGCATTTGTTAAAAAAAGGCCGGCTGAGACTTGTGGGCTACATACCCGCATTCCCTGCATTCTAGACATCGCCCTGAGTGGCCTTAGGGCCCTTAGGGTCCGCATTGTTTTGAAGGCTTGGATTCCGCCCGCGCCAAGGAGCGACGCTATGAAGTTAATGAGAGACACCTGCGAGCGACAAAATTGAAGAGCGGATCATAGAAACACGTCGAATGACTATAGGCACAGGCGAACAGAAGGATTGCGATTTCTGTGATTTTTGCAGCGTCGCCCACTAGGTATACACAACAAGTCTCTGTTTCTTCTAGTAGGGTCAAAAAATGGGGGGAGCCGGGAAAAGATGACATAGTTTTTCCGAGTTTTTAATGTCTACTAGACTAGAGAGTTGGGGAATTTTTTTTTTTTTTTTTTCCTACTAATTAAGAGAAAACAAAAATGTTACATGATACTGAATGGTACGGAAATGGGTAATTTGCTGCAGATTCGAAAATGCTGGCACAGGTCTGGATATCACCACAACAGTTGTAGTCGAAGTACATAGTTTGCTGTTAACGATTTTGATATCACATCGATAAATGTTAAATTTGTTTTTGATGAAAAAAGTTTTTTTTTTTCCACATAGTTTTATTGCAGGAGTCACAATATCTAAAGGTTTCGATGTAATATCAATAACGTGTACAAGCAATTTTTTTTTTTTGTCAAGTGTGAAGTATGTAATAATAGATTGAGCCATTGATGGTAATAATATGTATGTACAACAAAAACAGCTAGAAGATAGAAAAGGAGTATAGGACGTAGATGAGGCACACACTGTCTTAAAAATCAACGAAACATTTTATATTTATATATTTATAATATACCAGCTGCTCCTGAAACAGATTAAAAAATTTTGTAGTTTGAATCTCTAATTCTCAATAAACACGCTATAAAGCATTGTCCTCATACATGTGTAAGAAATTGTTCCTGACCGTAAAATGCGTATGAACATACATGTAACTGTTTTAGCGTGTTATGGAAAATTAGATATTTCAATTTACACGTTGAGAAAAACACTCTCGGACACAACAATATAGGTATAATATAGACAGGAAACAATGCTACATTCGGTTCGCAGTTTAAGTAATTTATATAGAAAAAAAATAGATCAAAGTAGTATGATAGATATTTTACGTGACATCCAAAGCATACTTTATAACTCGTTGCACAGTTATTTGTTATATAAATATACCATAGTATAGAAGAGATGTATCATAGTTTACACACATCATTTATGTATATGTATGTATACAGAAAATGTTGAAAAACTCTACAGCAAAATTTGGTGTAATTTTTTTACTTTTGTTGCAAATAATGATTGAACTCTTTTGTTAATTCGATAACACAACATACATAACACAAATGAAGCTGTAGCTAATTACATTGAGTTTTTTCCAATTTATGTACACCCAAGTATCAGTGCAGAGACACAGAAGATAAAGATCGGTAGCACCAGTGTAAAATTTACTTTTTACTTTTCACTAGTTCATATTTATATTCTCAAATCTGCATCACATCGGCAAAGCAAATCACATAATAATACTTTACAGTGATCTCATAAATAGCATCAGCGATCTTTGTAGCGCAATTATAGATAAAATAATGTACGATATTAACGAAGAAAGCTGAAGCTCCACCAACTTGGCTTTGAAAAACACGCACCGGGCTTGCGTTTTTTTTTTTTTTTTTTTTTTTAACACAAATCGTATGTTTTTAAAAGTTTATTTTTTCGTAAGCTATACATCGAACATCTTGAGTATTTTGAAGCAGCATAAGTTTACTCGTCAAATGCATACTTTTACCCCATTGAAACACAAAGCTGATGATCACAAAGAAAATATAAAAAAAAAGGTAGCTTTTGTATAAAAAACCAACGTGCGCGCAACAGAGAAAAATTCCACATCGGCCCCACAACATCGACTTAAATGAGACAACACGACTTTTTTTATTTTTTTTCATCCAAAGTATTTTTTTGTTAGAGAAAAAAAAAAATTCAGAAAGAAGGGAGAGCAACGTTCATCAGATAAATACACAAAGAAAAATACAGAAGGGTGTATATCAATGCGTAAATATATAAAGAGAAATCAAACACAGGACGCGCACACAACCCACCACGAAACCATACGGATTTTTCACGTGTATGATACACGCTTTGCAACTTCATGTACATACATCAACATATCCACGTGTACATTCTCTCTGTATATAGAACGTACACACAGTATGTATGAAACACACACATAAAGTGCGAAGGTGAGGAGATTTTTAAATTTTATTCATTTGTCAAAGGTTCAAAAGTCTTCCGGTTGCTGACTGTTGACTTACTTTCATACCCTCCCAGCGCGAGACTCCTCTGAGTGGTCTCAGGGCTCTCAAAGTCCGCATCGAGCGGAAGGCCGGGATGTCAGCGACGCCCGCCCAAGTCGCAGCCGAGTTGAGCAGCGAAAGCTATAGTGATGTTTTTTTTTTTTTTTTTTTTCATGGAAAATATATCGTCTACTGTTAAATTATTTCATGGTTTTATTTGAGTTGCTAGTATGATAATAACCCTTTTGATTGGACAATTTGTTGTGTGCTTTTACACAGTCAGGAACAACGTATGGCTCTAAATTTTTTTTAAGTTATTGCTTTGATAGTATATCTTACTACTGTCTGTGTTTATCTATCCAAAAAACAAATTTTCATGGAGTAATTTTTTTTTTTTTTTT